CAGTCGGGGGTGGTGGGCAGTGGAGAAGAAAGAGAAGAAAAAAAAAATGAAATCCATTTTCAAAAAACGAAAACAAAAAAATGAAAACAACTTTTTTTCGTTTTCAGTTTTTCAAAAAAGACAAAAACATTTTTGTTTTTGTTTTTTTAAAAATTTGTACACCAAACGCATTTTATGTTTCCGTTCTCATTTTTTAGTCTCGAAAAATAGAAATAAAAACGGAAACAAACAGGGCCTGTATGTTTTCTCAAATCCATTTTCAAAAAACGAAAACAAAAAAATGAAAACAACTTTTTTTCGTTTTCAGTTTTTCAAAAAAGACAAAAACATTTTTGTTTTTGTTTTTTTAAAAATTTGTACACCAAACGCATTTTATGTTTCCGTTCTCATTTTTTAGTCTCGAAAAATAGAAATAAAAACGGAAACAAACAGGGCCTGTATGTTTTCTCTATTTTTCAACCGTTGTATAAAAAATTATACGCTTACATATTTTTTTAATCTGACATAATTTTAATTAGATTTAACAGTCACAAATTAGGGTCTCGTTCACTTCACGGATTCGAGTTTTCAATTCGAACTGAGATGTGACATTTTTTGAAAGCTTTTAACTGTAGTAAAAAAGTTAGATGTGATATTTTCTGAGAGCTTTTAACTGTAAAAACCTAAGCCATGTTCACTTCGTGAATTCAAGTTGAGATGTGATATTTTTTTAAAAGTTTTTAACTATAGTAAAAAATGTTAGATGTGATATTTTTTTAGAATTTTTAATTGTAAAAATTTAAATCACTAAAATAAATGCGGTATAAGTTTACTAGTAGTCTAATTCATAGGAGAAAGTCCTCCGTTTCTGTGCATTTCAGATATCATCTGTTACTTTTGAAATTTCAACACGAGGCATCCATGCAGGCATATACAATTCGTTTTCTTTCCTTTAATTAACTAATTAATTTATAGCTTCTACTGCGGGATTTTTTTTTTCTTGTTCCTAACTCTAAATATGGGCAAGTAGGGTACTAGAAAAGTAATAGTATGTTAAGTTATGTATGTGATAGAAAAATAAAGTAGTAAAAAAATTAATTAAAATTTTTATTAGAAAAAATATTGTAATAATAAAGAGGCTATTAAAAATCTTAAGAGATATTTAATACTTAAAATCCTTATATTTCTACTACTTAATTTTAAAGGGAAATTCCTTGTTATTTGACACTATATTAGTAATGTAATGTGATTAAATTTGTAGAAAAAAATAATAAATGATATTCAATGACAAGTCAAATACAAATTCTTCAATCTCGACTGAAGAAAAAATGTTCGTGTTTTGCCTAAAACTGAATCATTTGAGCACTAATGCTCCTTCCAAATCAGAGGTCTTAAGGATCCCGCAAGACGCGTGCCAAGACTATCCTTTAAGGTCATTTATAATCTTAATATGCGTTCTTTTTACGATTCAAATTACAACTCAAATTTTTTATTATAATATTTTCTCTCATAATAATTTAAATTCAACTTTTTATTATAATATTTTTTCGTATAAATTTTCTTTTCAACTCAAGTTCTCAAAAAAAAAACTCAAAAATTTTGCCATGGGCACTTGTGAGTTTCATTCGTTTTGCAGATTTGAGTTTTCAATTCGAGCTGAGATGTGACATTTTTTTAGAGCTTTTAACTGTAGCAAAAAAAGTTACATGTGACATTTTCTGAGAGCTTTCAATTGTAAAAATCTAAATTGAAAACTTAAATCGGTAAAATAAATGACACATCGGTAATTCCTTTAGGCTATTGTGCACATGCCTCTTAAAAGTTAAAAAAATTATATTGCAATTGCATTGAAATGAACTATTGTTACGTTTTTTATTACAAAAATAAAAAACTACATTGTTTGATTGAACCCCATCCGTACCAAAAATAAAAAATTATTATTTCATCTGAATTAAACATGTGAAACCCTCAAAGTATGACAAATTTATTACTATGCCAAGTCATATAACCCTCTCAACTAGCTACAACCCGCTGTAAACATAAAAAATGAATTAAAAATTCACCAACAAACAATCAGAGTCATCATTTAAGCATTTAAACATCACATTAGATTGCTAAAACTTTTGCGACATAAATCTAGCCGACTGAATGGAATACATTCGCCCTAAAATTTCAAAACCTAATAGGATATGATTCCCCTATTTTTCTCATTTATTCTTTATTGCCGAATAGCTCTTTGCACGCTAATCATAATATCAAGAGATTTACCACTATATATATATATATGTAAATATATAATTAATTACAAATTCATATGCAATACATAATAATATATAACCAATATAATCTATATCCTAAAATAAATGTAACATGCATAAATATAAATCGATATGTATATATATCTCTAATTTTTATATTAATAGGTAAGTGGTACGTATAATATATATATATATACACATATATATCACACATATTGACAAAATCGTTAACAAATATGTATAACCTAAAAAAATTAGTATTTGGAATCTAATTGCAGTATAACAACAACTCCCATATATCAAACATTGGGCTTATAATCAATAACTAAAAATCTTTATTATAACATATAAGCCTCAATTCATACTAATTTCATCACATTACAGTCATAATCAACACAAACACACCATCACATCATTAAGTCGTAATTATTCATAACCTTCACATTATTAACATAAATCTTTTATTGTACATTGAGTTTCTTATCCCTGTCACTTGTAACATCATTAAAATAGCACGTTAACAATATTTATCATGACATAAATTTACCGTATATTATAACGTTACGTCCTCTATTTACCATTACGTAGAAAAATGTGGTGTTACGACTATCACCCAAAAGAGTATCTTCATGATCAAAACAACAAAACAAATCCTCCATTCGCGACTTCCAAATTGAATAATTTGAAGTTGTGAGTTTGATCATGGTGTTACTACTATTCCTTGAATCCTCCATTTAATTAAGCCAAGACAAATATTCCCAAATAACCAAAAGATACCACTTGTTGAGAAAAAGACAAATTCTTTTTCCCTCTTAGTAAATGTGACGACCCTCCTAGGTCGCCGTCACTGTAACTAAAATTAACTTGTACTTATTGAAATTTTTTAAAATTTGCGGAATAATTTTTTTTTTTAAATATAAGAAGGAATAATTTCATAAATCGTAACAATAATTTCAAAAAATAAATCACCAAATTTCTTAAAGCTTTTCTTAAATTCAACTAAGATAAAACCTTCTAGAAATATCTTTCAAACTCAGCGGCATTTGAACTCATGTTTCAAATACTCTTTAAAAGCCTTTCTAAAACTAGCCAATTCAATCGGGCCATATAATTTGACTTTAAAACGGATTTCGTAAGAAATCTTAAATTCAAGTACTTCTTAAAGTTCTTTCAAAATCAATCATTTAAATCATCATGTTTAAAATTCATTTATTTGTTGCATGCACTGTTGCAACGTTCTAAAACTTAAATACTCAACACTAGGGTTGTTAGGTACAACCTCGGTTCTCTTAACATACATATGTACATATACTTTTCAAACATACATGCTTGAAACCTTTGAATCACATATACATATACATGATTTTACCTAAACTTATTGCAGAAGATTTAAGTGTGAGTAGCATCCATTCCCATCTCTACCATTCGTCCGCCGCTCGCCACTGCCCTTCAAAAATTGCTGATAGGTTTCTTACCTACAACATGAACATATCTGAATGAGCTTTCGCTCAGCAAGTAGGAACTATCTCTCGCAAAATAACTGTAAGTACACATGAATAAATATGCATGAGCCAATTATGCTTAATTATGATCATGTCTTATCAAATTCTTATTATCTGATCTTACCTTACTTACTTATGGGCCCGAGTGCTCGTACCACTTACGTGTAATCATTAGGACATGAAGGTTTGCAAGGCCCCCAATGACACCATGATTATAACTGAATTGAATGCCTCCCTCTCAGAGGACTTTATTATCTTTTTTTCTTCTCCTTTGCGGAGCATG